GTTTGAAGAGTTATGTTTTTAAGTAGATAATATCTTTGATTCTGTTTTAATATATAAAGCAGATTGTTGCTAACAAAGTATATGAAAAAACTGAGATATGGATAACTCTTCTGGTGATTTGTGTTAAGATTAAACCTTTCTGCAGACAGACTTCTCAATGCATTTAGTATTCAAATCAGAAGAACATTATGAAAACAATAGAAAAAACTCTGGTTAAAGGTTATTAAAAGCTTAAAAACAGAACAACCAGCTAAAAACACTTTCTTTAGTTTGGCTTTTTATATATTATACTTGTCAACTTTTTCTATCTATTTTGTTTTTTTTACCTAAAAGTAGGAATTTGCTCTTTCTTTACAAAAGATCAGCATTGTTTACTATTTTCTTATTTTGAACAGTTATGTGTTGTGATATATTGTAATAAAAATACAATATTTATGTATACAGCCTAGAATTATGTATATAGAATTTTTACCTCTTTAGTATAGGTTAAAGTGTAGTTAGATTCTTTGCACAAGCTTAAAGTATTAGTAATCTTACTGAAATAGTTATGAATAAGATGTGCCTTCTGACACTTGTATTTTTTATTTTTTTTTTCTATACCTTTTTTTAGTTTAGTTTAGTTTAGTGGTTTTTTTTTTTCTTTTACATCTTTATAAAAAAGTGTTATCAAATTAGTAATACTCTATTGTAGAATAGTAGTTGGAAATAACCTTTCAAGTAGTAACTTGTTACTGCCAAGTAGTAGGTTGCTTCTAAGTACTCTTAGAAGCAGCTGAAAAAGTTAAAAAACAGAAATTAAGTATATAGAATTAACAGTAGTGTTGATATTTTCTTAATAAAAGTACATCAGCATGACTATTTAAGTAAAAAAAAATTTTTTTTATTTTTATTAGACTAACACTATAATTTTTTCTAAATAAAAATTCATTAGTTATAATACTAATTATAAAATTTTGCATTTCTAAAATCTGTAGTAAGTTAGCTAATAATATAATATACTATTTAGTACTATTGGTCAATTTTATTAAGAAATTTAAATATTAATATCTATATATATTATAACATTAATTTCAATATTACTATCACTATAAGTAAATAATACTAAAATATTTTAACTATTATATTTATATATTAGTTTGGTTAATTGTTAGATATAATTTATGAACTTTTTATATTTTTTTAGGCTAAAATAAATTTGAAAAGCTGTACTTTTATTTTTTTTGTAAAGCAGAAAATCTTACACTTTACTTGAACTCTAATCTGCATGCTACTCTAAACACAAGTTATTGTTTTGAGAAAATTTTTATATATTTGTTGCAGTTCTGTCTTCTATATTTTTTGTATAGTACAAATTTAAATAATTAAGAAATTCATATATATGTCAAAAGAACTTCTGCAAATTGGGTTAAAAAAAAGTTGACTATATGTCTTCAATTATATTTACTTGACTATTGTACTAAAATTTTATTATTAATTTTTTTTTTTTTTTATTATGCCAAAGTAGAAACTTTATTAAGTAATAAAAGTAATTACATTAAAGATTTCTAAACTACATTTGGGGCGTTATCAATTAAAACAGCCATTTTTTACTTTTTTAAAAAAATTGAGTTTTTTCGATTTTCTAATATGTATATATTTGACAAAAAGATTTACCAAATCACAAGACCAAATTATATAATAAAAAGATCTGTAAATTACAAAAAAGTAAAAAAAAATTGAAAAACGACAAAATCTAAAAATAGAAATTTAAGATTTCTAGATCAACTAGAATACTATAAAAATGAAGATCACCTAGATTATCAATAAACATACATTAAAATTTTTATGTAATGACTTTTTTTTATAATGCTAAAGTTTACTAAATTTCATTTATTATTGCAAAACTACATAATATCAATATTTAAGAACTTTCTTGTAAACTTTCCTCCTGTCTTTCGACGTTTTTGGAGAACTTTCTTGTGGACTTCCCTCTTGTTTTTCGACGTTTTTGGAGAACTTTCTTGCAGACTTTCCTCTTGTCTTTCGGCATTTATTAGTAAGTGAACTTTCTTATCTTTCGACCTTTTCTAGTAAAACTTGTAGACTTTTACTAATCTTTCAGAATTGTTTGGTGAACTTTCTCGTGGATCTTTTGTTTGTTGGAGAATTTTCTTGTAGATTTTCTTGTTTTTGGTAGTTTTGAAGAACTGTCTTGTGGACTTTCCTCCTGTCTTTCGATGTTTTTGGAAAACTTCTTGCAGACTTTCCTCTTGTCTTTCGGCGTTTATTAGTAAGTGAACTTCTGATCTTTCGACCTTTTCTAGTAAGCCTTGTAGACTTTTACTAATCTTTCGGAATTGGTTGGTGAACTTTTTTTCTTGTGGATCTTTCATTTGTTGGAGAACTTTCCGGTGTTTTTGAAAAACTTTCTTGTGGACTTTTCTCCTGTCTTTCGACGTTTTGGAAGGATTTCTTGTGGACTTCCCTCCTGTCTTTTGATGTTTTTGGAGAACTTTCTTGCAGACTTGCCTCTTGTCATTCCTCTTATCTTTTTGGCGTTTAGTTGATGAACTTTCTTGTGGATTTTTCTCTAGTCTTTCAGCATTTTTTGTGAAACCAGAGGAAGGTTCACAAGAAAGTTCACCAACCATTTTTTTGTGGATTTCCTTCTGGTCCTTCGACATTTTTCTGGTGAATTTCATGTGGATTTCTCTCTGATATTTTGGCATTTTTTTTTGGAGAATTTTCATGTAGATTTTCCTCTGGTCCCTCGGCGTTTTTCTGGCGAATTCCTTGTGGATATCCCTCTGGTCCTTCAGCATTTTTCTGGTAAATTCCTTGTGGATATTCCTTTAGATCTTTGGTGTTTTCTGGTGAATTTCATATGGATTTCCCTTTGGTTCTTCGGCATTTTTTCTGATGAATCCCTTGTAGATATCCTTTTCGTCCTTTAGTGTTTTTCTGGTGAATTTCATGTGGATTTCCCTCTGGTATTTCGATGCTTTTCTGGCAAATTTCTTGTGGATATCCTACAGGTCCTTCGGCGTTTCTTTTAGAGAATTCTCTTGTGAATTTTCCTCTGGTCCTTTGGTGGTCTTTTGGCGAATTTCTTGTCTATTTCCCTCTGGTATTTCAGTGTTTTTTTGGAGAATTCTCTTGTGGATTTTCCTCTGGTCCTTTGGCAGTCTTTTAAAGAATTCTCTTGTGGATTTTCCTCTGATATTTCAGCATTTTTTTGGAAATTCTCTTGTGGATTTTTCTCTGGTCCTTCGGTGGTCTTCTGGCGAATTCCTTGTAGATATCCTTCTGGTCCTTGGCATTTTTTTTTTGGAGAATTCTCTTGTGAATTTCTCTCTGGTCCTTCGGCATTTTTCTGGCAAATTCCTTATGGATATTCCTCTAGTTCTTTGGCGTTTTTCTGGTGAATTTCATTTGAATTTCTTTCTAGTATTTTGGCGTTTTTTTTGAAGAATTCTCTTGTGTATTTTCCTCTGGTCCTTTGGTGGTCTTCTGGTGAATTTTTTTTTAGAGAATTATTTTGTGGATTTCCTTCTGTTTGGCGGTTTTCTGATGAATTTTTTGTTGGTTTCCTCTTTCTGATATTTTGGTATGTTTTTTGAAAAATTTTTTGGGTAAATTTTTTTTCTTTTTAGTATTTAGTTTGTAGATTTAAATTTTTTAAAAAAATTTTTCTTGTTTGTATAATCTGTATTTTAATCTGTATTATTTATTGTGCTGTATTATAATATTATTTTACAATAAAATTAGTTTTTATTAATATTATTATACAACTTATAATTAAATTAAACAATTTCATAATTAATTGGTTTATTGGTTATGTGATTTTGTAATTAATTGTTAATTTTATTTAATAAAAAATTTAATATTTAGTTTTATTTAAATTTTACTGGTTTAGTAATAGTAGACATTGGACACAAATCATTTTTTTTGTTAGGATTTTGTACATGAGTTCTTATTTGTTCATATAAATACCATTGTCATTCTGCACTAAGTCCAGGTAATTTGTTTTCAATTAATTGATTAAAATTATCTTTTTGTCTAATTTTTTCAATTTGTATAGTTATTTTTTCTTCATTAGAAGATGTACTAATTTTAACTTTTCCTTTATCTAAACTATTAAATTCAAAATAATGTTGTTTTAATATTTCTGGAATTGTTGTAAAATTTTGTTTTAACCAATTTGTCTATTTATAAAAATGTACAACTTGATTTCCTTCATCATCAAAAATTGTTTGTGTAATATTATATCCACCAGGAGTTGAATTTTGAACTACATTAATTAGATCATTAAAATTATCTACTTCAGATTTTCTTAAAAGTATTTTTATCAATTCAAAAAATCCATCTGGACTAAATTTGGTATGTCTTGCAACCATGAAACAATAAGTTATATTATCATATAATCCTGTTAAAACTCTCCAAGCTAAATATGCAATCATTGCATTATTCTTATTTTGTCCAGAACAATTATCTGCATGAATTATTAATTTTTTTTCTTCTAATCCATGTAATTCAAAATAATTATGAACTAAAGAAATAACAGTATCTGCTTCTTTACCAACTAATTCGCTTTCTTTAATAAGATAATTTACCTAAAATTATAAAATATATTAATATAAATATAATTATATAATAAAAAAATATTATTATTTACTTGACGTGGAAATGCATTATTATATATTCCAAATAAATGAACTTTGTATAAAGATTTAAAATAAATTTTACCCTAATAATAAAATAATTAATAAATAATTATTAGTATTTATAATTAAATTATTATAAATTTAATAAAATTATTTACTTCTTGTTGAGATGAATGTGGTAATTAAATTTGTTGAGCATAATCCCAAGAAAAATGAACTGTAATATCTAAAGAATTTGGTTTTCCAGAACGTATTATATTTTTAATTCCAAATTTTTTAATATCTTCATATGCTATTTTAATATATTTTCTAATAAAATTTTTAATAATAAAAATAATTTTATAAAATAAATTATTAAAAATTAAAATTATTTAAATAATTTATAAAAATTAATTAATAATTAAATATAAAATTTTAATCAAATTTAATTTTTATAAATTTAAACTTACTTATAATTTTCATGTTCTTCTTGTACCCATTTGATATGTTTATGCCATTCTAAAACTTTAGTTTCTTTTTCTTCAATTGACCAATAATTTGCATTAAATCTCATATCTTTACATTTTAAACATAAATCACTACGTGGAGTTAATTTTTTAATACATGGTAAAAATTTTTTCCAAATTCTAATAAATGTCATTAAACTAATTTTAAATTGATCATTAGTATTAATTGCTTCTAAATATTGAGTATGTAAAGATAAATAAGTAGTATCTGCTGATAAATATATAATAGCAATAATATTATCACGAAAACTTCGTCTTATAAAATTTAAATTTATTATAAATAAAATAATAGATTTTAAATTAATTATAGTATTAATAAAATAAAATTATTATAAATAAACAAAATAATTATAAATAAAATAATTTAAAAATTACCTAGAGATGGTAAACCATTTTGTTTAGCAAAATTTCCTATAAAGGTAATTACTTTCATTACTGTTTCAAAAGATATTGTTCGATTTCCAACTTTTCCAGTTTTTGAATTAATACGTAAATTTATATCATGTTCTACAAAATGATCTCTTAAATTTTTCCATCTTGTATCTCCAAGACTATAAATTGTTTTAAAAGCATTTTTACAAATTGATTTTTCTTCAAAGCTATATTCTGTAGTAAGCTTAGATTTCTTTAAATTTTTAATTATTTCTGGTCGTTTGGTAGCAGAAATTATACCTAATAAATACATATCTTGTAAAGATTTAGTAAGATTTTTAAAATTTAAATATCTTTTTAAAGCTATAGAATATTCAACTTGAGTTTGTAAACAATTTTTTTCACAACAAACTTTTTTAAAAGATTTTTTAAAATCATTATTTTGTAATAAATTTATTTTATTTTCTAAATCTTGATTATCATCTTCTTGTTTTTCAATAATATCTTTTTCTTTATAATATAATTTTTTAAATTTTGAAAGCTCTTTTTCAGTCCAAACCTCATTTTCTAAAAGATTATTTTCTGTAATTTCTAAAATTTCAGATGATTCTGATAAAAATAAATTATCATCTTCTTGAACTAAAAATTGAGAATGTAAATTTGAAAGGTCTGCTTGTAATTGAGTATTTTCTATATGGGTTTCTTCAAAAATATTTTTATTTAAAGAAAAAGTAGACATTTTTACAAAATAAAAATTTAAAATTTAAATATTTTAATCAATATAACTAATTATATACATATTTAATTACAATACAATATGCAACATTCAAAATTTAATTATTATTCTATTATTGTATTATATAAAATTCAAAACATATTATTTACAACAATAATAATGCAATTTATACAGAAAAAAATTAATCTAATTAAAATTTTATATTGTTAAAAAAAAACTTATGTGCACTTGTATCTATAATATAATAATAACAATCTTAATAAGCATGTTTATTGACAAAAATGTTGTATGCATCTGCAAGTACATGCAAGAAACACCAAAGGAAATCCACAAGATAATTCAAATTCAAAAAAGTGTCAAAACACCAGAGGGAAATCCACATGAAATTCACCAGAAAAATGCTGAAGGACCAGAGGAATATCCACAAGGAATTTGCCAGAAAAACGCTGAAAGACAATAGGAAAATCCACAAGAGAATTCATCAAAAAAAAATGCCAAAATACCAGAAGGAAATCCATATGAAATTCACCAGAAAAACGCCAAAGAACCAGAAGGATATTCATAAGAAATTCGCCAGAAAAATGCCAAAGGACCAGAAAGAAATTCACAAGAGAATTCTTCAAAAAAAAAACCCCAAAGGACCAGAAGTATATTCACAAGGAATTCACCAGAAAAACGCCAAAGGACCAGAGGGAAATCCACAAGAGAATTCTCCAAAAAAAAATGCTGAAGTACCAGAGTGAAATTCACAAGGAATTCACAAGGAATTCACCAGAAAAACGCTAAAGGACTAAAGGGATATCTACAAGGAATTCGCCAGAAAAACGCCGAAGGACCAGAGGGAAATCCACAAAAATAATTCTCCAAAAAAAAAGTCAAAATATCCACAAGAAATTCACCAGAAGACCGCTGAAGGACCAAAGGAAAATCCACAAGAAAATTCTCCAAAAAAAAATGCTGAAATACCAGAGGGAAATTCACAAGAAATTCGCCAGAAAAACACCAAAGGACTAAAGAGATATCAAAAGGAATTCACCAGAAAACACTGAAGAACCAGAGAGAAATCCACAAAAAGAATTCTCCAAAAAAAAAATGTCAAAATATCCACAAGAAATTCACCAAAAGACTGCCGAAGGACCAGAGGAAAATCCATAAGAAAATTCTCCAAAAAAAAACGCTGAAGGACCAGAGGGAAATTCACAAAAGAATCCTCCATAAAAAAAATGCCGAAGGACCAGAGGGAAATCCACAAGAAAATAGTTGGACTTTCTTGTTAACATTACTCTGGTTTCACCAAGAAAGTTCACCAACTAAACGCCGAAAGGACAAGAGGAAAGTCTACAAGAAAAATCTCCAAAAAAAAATGCAGAAAGGCAAGAGGAAAGTCTGCAAGTTCTCCAAAAATATCGAAAGACAGGAGGAAAGTCCACAAGAAAGTTCAAAAACACTGAAAACATGAAAATCCAAGTTCTTCAACAAATGAAAGATCTATGAGGGAGTTCACCAACCAATTCCGAAAGATTAGTAAAAGTCTACAATGTTCACTAGAAAATGTCGAAAGAATAAAAGAAAGTTCACTTACTAATAAACGCCAAAAGACAAGAGGAAAGTCTGCAAGAAAGTTCTCCAAAAACGTTGAAAAACAGGAGGAAAGTCCACAAGAGAGTTTATAAAAACACTGAAAACCACAAGATCCACGAGAAAGTTCACCAACCAATTTCGAAAGATTAGTAAAAGCCTACAAGGTTTACTAGAAAAGTCGAAAGATCAGAAGAAAGTTCACTTACTAATAAATGCCGAAAGACAAGAGAAAGTCTGCAAGAAAGTTCTTCAAAAATATCGAAAGACAGGAGGAAAGTCCACAAGAAAGTTCTTCAAAACCACCAAAAACAACAAGAAAGTTCTACAACAAAAGATCCACGAAAAAGTTCAACCAATTACGAAGATTAGTAAAAGTCTACAAGGTACTAAAAAATGTCGAAAGATCAGGAGAAAGTTCACTTACTAATAAACGCCGAAAGACAAGAGGAAAGTCTGCAAGTTCTCCAAAAACGTCAAAAGATGAGGAAAGTCTGCAAGAAAGTTCTCTAAGAAAGTTCTCCAAAAACGTCGAAAGACAGAAGGAAAGTCCACAAGAAAGTTCTTCACCAACCAATTCCGAAAGATTAGTAAAAGTCTACAAGGTTTGCTAGAAAATATTTTTTTTATATATTGTAGTAACAAAAAACAAAAAAAACTGACAAGAATGATATACATGACATAATGAAAATTTTATCGATCGTACACTAACGATATTAATCTAAATAAATTAAAGTTACGAGTTACTGACCAGTATATTCTGGAATTTCTAGAACCGTGAAATGTTATTTTTAGATCAAAAATCTTGTTTATTATATTTTTTTTAAACCTGATTTACTCAAAATGATTTACATGTAAAAAAGTGCTGTTTTATTTAATAATCCTCTATTTGTTTACTTATTTAAGACATCAATGTGACATTACACCTCCATTTCTATATAACACTATTATTAATTATTTTAAATTAATTTTAAGCATAGAAAGGTT